ACAAAAATAACGACTTTATTCGACTATTCCTTTTCTTCCTCGTTGGCCTGAAACGAGACTTCCTTAGATTTCCACGACGCATGCGCGAGAATTGCGATCTCCTTCAACTACTTCAGTTCAGTTCTCGCGCATGCGTCGTGGAAATCTAAGGAAGTCTCGTTTCAGGCCAACAAGGAAGAAAAGGAATAGTCGAATAAAGTCGTTATTTTTGTTTGTTTTTTTGCACAAAAAGTATTCTCGTCGCTTGTAGTCACATGGGATATTTAAACATTTTCTTCATTGACTTTCTGGGCTGTCAAGAGCCAGTCCCTTAGGCAGCCAATGTGGTAGTGAGACAGCTCTCAAATTTAATCAAAACTATCTTCATTTGTGTTCCGAAGATGAACGAAGGTCTTACGGGGTTGGTACAGCATGGGTGTGAGTAATTAATGACTTAATTTTCATTTTTGGGTGAACTAACCCTTTAATTACCATGTTCTGCTCTGTCTGAGAACAGTTGAGCATGCAAGACTGTCAAAGTATACTTCATTAATTGCGAGCACAGGTTTCACGAGTTCAAATAAGTCAGATAGAATAAATGCATATTTGGCGTGCTGTCCGAGGAGAGGGCTCCTGGCTCGGTATGCGGCCCAAACCCAGAGTACTCCCCCTGATTCCTGACTGTGATAAGAATAAGACAGTAGTGGTGGAGGGATGCTGAAACTGTCAAGGAATATTAGGTGAGTTGACAGTGAATATTTATATATGTTTCCTCTAGTGCTGATAAGGTAGACATGTAATTGTTTGGTGACGAGTTGATTGGAATGATTTATTTGAACGTGCTCCTCCCTAACCTTGTTTCTAAAACATAATTTATGCATTCAGTAAGTGAGCACTTCCAAGTAATGCATACAATCTACAAAGTTTTAAAGCAAGAAATCCCAGCCCGTTCTCATCCCGAGGCGTCATATACGACGCTTTTGCAAAAGCGTAAACATCCAACGCACATGGCACCCTTTACCGTCAAATAAGACGTAGATGTATTTGGGCGGAAGGCGCCTCCTAGTGGTCTAACCCTAACCCTACCCCATACCTAAACTTAACCATAACCGAAGCGTCTCATTTGACGCTAAAGGGTGCCATGTGCACTGTATGTTTACGCTTTTGCAAAAGTGTCATATATGACGCCTTGGGATGAGAATGCGTTGGAAATCCACACCAGATGGAGTCTTTTCAATCTTAACAGAAAACACTTGTCTGAAATGCCTTGTTTGTATAGTCTTGACAGTATATCTGTGTGACTTAACTACATTACCATGTTACATATTTGCATAACGCCTGCCTACTGGCAGCTTTGGACCACCATCACTGAGCAATTGGGAAAGTGTTTTTACTATGTTGAGAAGATCTGTGGGTGAAATCAAACAAACAAACAAAAATAATGCACTGACTTCCTGTTTCAAGCCTTGGGAGCTGAAACAGGACTATGGTTAGGGGCGTTATATATTTCAACATTCTGTCTGAGCAGTAGGCCACTCAAAATAGATTTGGGCCATCTGACCAATTAGAGCAGACTGTGCTTTAAAGAGACAGAGACAACTAAAACAGAACATTTCAGGCAGATGGTAAAAAGTGGTGCTGCAGCAATGCACACTATCTTTAAATCAAGATAATGTATTCTAGAAATAAAACTTGTAAATGAGCATAATAGGGGCCCCTTTAATATTTGCACTCTTTCTCTTCAGTGAAAATTTCCCAAAAAAAAAAAAAAATGTTTTATGGAAATGCATTTACATTTTTATGGAAATGCATTTACATGGTCAAGTGCAAATGCAATTCATACCCAATCGGACAGCTGTCTCGATTGATCAAATGTGACTAGGCTGATAAAATGAAATATGTCCTCTAATTCGTCTTTCAGAGTGTATTGGGTGTATCCTGTTGTTTTGCCATGACTGAGTTCACTCAGAGATTGCACTACTACCAGTTATGTTTAAAGAGTTCACCTTCATTTACTTAGGCTGTTTTTTCACTGCAGTCAAGTGGAGAATCAAATCTGTAATACCATCCTAATGAAGTGAGTTAACTCCAGGAAGGGTGAGTTGTGGGAGCTAGGGGCTGTTACCACTAATCTGATATGAACTGGATACACGTGAGACCACGCTGACCTTATGAGAATCACAATTGATAAACAAGCTTGGAAAAACATAGTGTTCAAATGAAACTCATCCGGAACACCAGCCTTCCATTAATGCCCAAATAGAACAGGAAGAAGATTTTCTGAATAAAATAAACTGCCAATGTAGACTAATTATGTCACTGAAACAGACAGATACACATAGACACAAACATTTGTGTGTTAGGGATACTCTTCACCCTTTGTATTTGCAAAAAATTCCTATAGGGAAACAATTCCAAACACAAATTTTTAGTCATCATGAACATGTTTTTTTAAAAACAAATATTTAGAGTCCCAAGAGGAGAAACAAAAATGTATGGTGAACCACGCATACCACTAATGCCGCAAGGATTTAGGGTGTATTTTGCAATACAAAATAGTTATTTTCCACCCATTTAACCTAAAACAATATTTGAATTGATTGAGCTCAGGATGCCTTCGCTTTATAGTGTTCGCATTACTAACTTTTCAGTTGTAGCACTCACCAAATACTTTAACTAGAAAAAAAAATAAAAATTACATGATTTCTTTTACAGATGAGAACACTGCCTCCCAAAACAAGCCAACAACAACAAATGGTTACACCTTTTGGTGTTTGTCACACACAATACAAAGCAAAACATTACTGTTCTCAGGTGTTCACAAACCTGACTTTTATACCACTCACAAATGGCATCAATTACAATCCAAGGCTGAGGTGACAGAGAGAGGCAGCTGTGGGAGGCATACGATAGGAACTCCGCTATGCTGAAAGATTACAGATTCACATACTTTCAATGTAAATGCATGCCAGAGAAGAACAATTCAGTTCAGAACAGCTCACATAATTAGGTGAAAATGTATGACGGCCATTAACCCCGTCAGGATCAGGACCCCAACATACAGTGGATCGAGAGACACAGTGGAGATTAATATACACATTTTAGATTTAAAACAAAAAATACATCCAGAGTGTCATGCTTTACAGTTTGAGATACAGAAGACGCTGTACAGTAATCTAAAATAAAATATATGAAACTAGCACTGCTAAGAAATCTATTGCCAACGGCAATGATCAATCATAAAGTTTATCAAAGTTTTAATATGAAAAAATTGACCAATTGTAATTCAGCATTTCAGAGTTGTGGAATATTATGGTAAATGTTGATTACGCCTTATTCAGTATAGCTATGTTTAAACAAATTAATGCTTGTAGTGATAATCCATCAACCATCTACGTATTTAATCGATTATATTTTCCATTGGAAAATAGTTGGAAAATAGATAATCCATCTATTTTCCATTGGAAAATAGTTGCAAGGCACGTTCTGCTATTTTGGGGCATTGTATGGATGTGTTTTGAAATCAATAAAGAGTTATTCTTCATACAGACATAGGCTATTCCTACAAATATCTGCAGTATCAATGGATGGTTTATTCATCCAGCAGACATGCATTCAGAAATATGACAAAATCACCAGATGTAACTGCTTTGTGAAATTTTCTCATCATTGTCATGACACAATCAATCATCCTGCCTGGTCTTATCACCCAGACACCTGTCATTTCCCGAATCCTTGCTCTGAATGTACTTCCCACTGGAGCCCCGCCCCCAGCCACAAACCCAATAAAAACACATGTCCAGCTCATGGTCCAGCTAGATCTCTCAGATTACTGCATCTAGATCCTTATGCAACCAACATGCAGGAAAAAGCATAAGTTGCATACTTTATCTTGGGTAAAAAGTGTAGTGGAAGTCAATTAAAAGTCATGATTTCTTAGATGAGTTGCAAATGCCTTTAACAAATGGAAAATAATGATGGTTAAGAATAAGTTTACAAAAGTTTGTGTTAACTGTAGCAGTGTGCACACACACATTCAACATATTGAAAGAGAAGCCAAGGTTGTCTGTGGTCTCCCACAGGCAAAGAAAAAAGGTAGACTCAACATGGCTTTGAAATGAAGTCTCTCTTTTTTTATAGTAGAACAATGAAATAACTGTAAGAAGCATATCAAATGTAGGAGTTGTTGTTGTACATTGATGTCTTATTAAATATTTATTCCATGCTGTTGCACAATGCATTTTGCTGAGTATTCTTTTAGTTTACTTTTTATACTATTGGAGCCCTATTTTATTGTTTGTTTGTTTGTTTGTTTTTGTTTTTTCCTGTCATCGGTTTTATTTGCTGTAGCATTTATTTTGTGTTAAACAGTCGGGGGGTGGGGGGGCTATTGCTAAAACCATTGTCATGATATATGAATATGCATTATGCATTTGATAATACTAATCTGGCATGCATTTATTATTTTGGTTACTTACAGCATCAGAACATGCTATAATCATTCTGCTTGTTTGTAAAAAGTCATCTCCAAATTTAGTGTGCTAACTCTGGTCAATTTTGACGTTAAATACAGTTGTTATATCTCATTATTTAACTTTTTCAAATGGATATTTTCGCAATTGAAAACTAAGTGGAACTTGAGCACAAGCAAGTCGCGCACAAGTTACACGCACTTCTCTGTGCGCGCGACTTAATCCTCACGAGCGTATAACGGCACTCCTGGCCAATCCGACATTACTAATAAACAAACATTTAAGTTAGCATAAGTTTGTTTTTTAGATGGACTTACCTTAGCTGAGCTCTTGTCTATGCTTAAAGAGACCGTGAGAAGAAAAACAGTGACACATGGAAGCCGCATCTTCACACCTATGAATAATGTCCAAAAGGACACGATGATGACGGATTCTTCTCCGTTTCAAGCAATTCTTGCTTCTCTTCTGCCCGAGCCTGAACTATACGTTTGTCTTCATCTTTGCCCGAAACGTTATGTGGCTGTTGAAAGTAATGTCTTGTAGAAGAGCCCACCACACCCCCTGTCAGGACCACGACCACCCATCAATACGCACCAACACAACCCTGTTTAGAACAACTATCACTCGCATGTCTGCAATTGTAAGGAGAAGTTTAAGTCTTGAAGAACAGCAATTGTCTTAAAACAGCTTTGGAAAGGTGGATTTTAGGTGAGATAACTAACTTTCCGAAAGCGCGTAGGCATCAGGATTGAGCGCGTGCGTGATCTGAGGTAAACTTCTTCCGTTACTTCACATTCAATAATGCACAAAAATAGCTTACTTTTTAAAATTATCTGGCTTAAATGTGTTTTGTTGTCATTAAAATCGACCAAATGATAACAAAACCAAGTGTTTGAAGTTATTTGACTAGTATAACATGGTTGTTGTTGTGTGTTTGGAGCATGGTTTATAGCTCGTCAAATATTCTTATTAGCTGATCGATTATTAAAGCCTATGACCACCTTGAGCCATGTCTGTTACTATTTCATGATTTTATAAGCTAATGACAGATTGGGCCAGCTATAGTTGTCCCAAAACACTACTACCGGCTAAAGCTGGATAAAAATGAACATGAGATCTAAGATAAAGTACATTTAATGTGTTTAACAGTGTTTTAAATATGCACACAATATGCTAAACAGTGTAAACTAACTTCAGTCCATCTGTAACTTTCAGATCATTGAGTATGCAGTAACAGGACACAGGGATTGAGCAGAAGGAGAGATTTAATCTGTTTGCAGGCTCGCATGGAGGGTGAGAACCATCTACAGCATTGGAACAAATTAAGGTAAAGTCTTGTTTTGTGTTTTAGAAACATCTGTTTTTTTCCCTTTGCACTTGTATTAATTCACATGTTTCTTATATTGCAGGTGTTTTCTGTTGTGCCTTGCAGTCCTTGTCCTTTCAACAGAGGTCAATGCAGTAAGTGTGCTTTTAATTTTACTATATTAAGTGGACAAGTGCAGATTGTGATGTAGGGTTCATTCCTCATGTATGGTGCAACATGCTGAACTGAGCCCCTTAGATAAGTGGGAGTGTCCTTTTTTGGATTTCAGTTTCCTCATGTGCAATTCACAAATGTTTGAGCGTTTACAGCTCTTTGCAGTGTACATGTTCCTTTAATTGAAAGCATATTTTTTCAAAGCCACTTTTAAGTTTGCTAATCCATTATAAGGCTGAAATGTGACCGTTTCACATCAGTCCCCCATCAATTAGTTGTGGTTGTTAGTGGTAATATAACTATCCCATAGTGAGAGATTAGACACTGACCTGAAGCTAATGAGGAAAATGTGTTCAGAGTCTGTGAGTGATTAATGTTACTCACAAGCTGACACTTTGTGGTAATGTGTGTGATCCAATCCCATCTCACTGCAATTCGTACAAAGTTTATGAGATGGGTAAATCGCACAAATTCATTCGACCTCACTCGTATGAATTTGTACCATGTTCGCTAAATCGTATATCAGGTGCCCAATTTGTATGATTCCATATGAAAAAGGTTGTACGAATTAGACAACTTTCAATTGCTCGTACAAATTTGTACAAATTGGTCATGATATATTGTTGGTGTGATTTAAAGTTGCAATAAAACGGAAGTATAAACAGATTTAAAGATGCGATGAGACGGAAGTAAAAACAGATTTAAAGTTGCAATAAAACAGAAGCTAAACTAATTTTAAGATGTGATGAGAGAAGTAGCAATAGATTTAAAGTTGCGATGAAAAGAAAGTAGAAACGGATTTAAAAGTTGTGATGAAATGGAAGTAGCGACAGATCTTTTCTTCCGTATTGTGTCATACATCCAAGAGTGATGGATTATTAAAAAAAAAAAGAAAATAGAGCAGGATTTGGTTCCATACATCGGTGGATTTAATTGATTAAACATTATGAGGTCAAAAAAGGTTTTTAAATTGTTGCTATAACAATCTATAACAAGCATTTAGAAAATAGATAGAGCGAATGTTTATTTCATGCAGAATTTAACATTTGGTCGTTATTGCAATGAACTGTTATTCTGCATGAAATTGTCATTTAAACTAAGTGGCTACAACTTAAGTGGCTACTAGATGTTTGGTGTATTATTTTGTCATCATGCCTAGGTTATTCATTAAGTTATCATCATAATTATGTTATTTTTTGCACAGATTAATAAACCACCATTGGACAAAAATAGTAGTAGCTTAGTTCTGCATGTGTTAAGATGAGTGTTATGAACCCCTCTTACAGTTTGTAGATGATTTCAACATGAGATCATATTTCTTTTCCTGATCCTCATGCTGATATGTGTTTCTGGCCACTCCCATCACCAGCAGCAAACACAGGTACTGTAGTTCAAAAGAGCTTATCATTTGCCAGCCGTCTGTAAAAGCTCCTTCAGCTGTAACATCATTCTTTTAGCTCTAGATCTAGCTGTGGTATGCACCTTGGCATCTTATTTTTTGAAGAAGAAATTGCATACTGTGTAAGCCGGTTTTATAATAGCATCTCAAACCTAGACTAACGTGGCTGCAATCGTTCAGTCATTCTCATGTTCTACTTTAGTTTGCTCTCAATAGTTTCAATTTGGTCCATTCCAAGGTTGTGTGCTGATACTGATACAAATGTTCATTTTAAACAGTAGCCAAAGTGCTGATTTGGCAATTTGCGCCAAAGAGATCTTAAGTGCAGTCAGTGGAAGGTTTTCTTTTTAGAAAAAAAGAAAAAAAAATCTATTTTCACTCTTTTCCAAAGTTTTACATGGTTGGAACAATACAACTATATATGGGATTTTAAAACTTGTGCACAGCCATGGGAATATAGAAAGCAACAACGCCTTTGGAAGAAAGTATAAAAGTATTTATTATACTTTCTTGCAGATGCTTTTGCTCATTTTCAAAGCTGTAATACAAATACATTTGAATTGAATTTGACATGTCAACATTTATATATTTAAGTGTTTATATTGTAAAAAACTTTTTGGATTATTCAACGACCCTTTTGGTCTATGAGAGGTCAGTCAGATTTGCACAGATTTCTATGGTGTGTTTCTGCCAAGACCTCCCTCTCTACAAAAAGGAAGAAATATCAAGTATGTTTTTTTCTTCTTCACTTAAACTGATTTGCCTGAATTGAAGAAGAATAAACCTCCTTGTCTAAAGCTTTATCAGATTTTGTGCCTCCCCGATCCAAAACTTGTGACAGCAGTAGGCTGAGGCTCTGCATTATACTGGTACAAGGAGTGTAGTGATTTCAGGTTTCAGGCCAAGCTAATTTTAGAAAGGCAATGATCCACCCTACAGGGTATGGTCAATGTAGGTGACCTCACCAAGACTGTTTGGTGCATAATGAAGAACATTAGAGATAAGGGAACCTAAATATAACATGGTCATACCCATATACATTGAATCTCTGATGTTGATCCTTTTTGCAATCCAAGACCAAATGCACAATTTTTATCCAAAAGTGACCTTTTCTTTTGTGAGCTGGATTAATTATGTGTGTAACGGAAGCCAGCTGGTAAATACTGTAGGTGCAGGTACAAATGGAAACTGGTTGAACATTAATATATGATATATTGATATACCAATGCTCAGGCTTGTCTTTTGAAAGGGAGTTTAAACTATTTTGCTGCATTTAATACACTTAAGTATGTTTCATGGCTATATAGTGTTGTCATGGAGATTCAGCTCTTTGGTCTGGTGAAAATGCTTCAAATATACCAGCCAACCCGAGACCAGGTCTGAGACCAGTGTGTTTTGAGACCAAGACAAGACCAAGGCAGGGCTAGACCAAGTCAAGACCAAGACCAGACCAGCACTCCTTAAATTCATCTAAACTAAACATGATTTACTGTCTGAGAAAAGTATTGTATTTAATCAATAATAAAATTATTGTTAGACAATATAAAGAGCTGTTACCAATTTGCTTAATTATATCATGTTATTTTCATAATCATAAAAATCAAGATGCAAGTACTTTTTTTGCAATCAGATCGTGAATTTGTGTGCATTTTTGGTGAAATTCTTTGACCCAACCAATCATTGATTTTTGACCTGGCACAACTGTAAATCAAATTAGAAATACGTTATTGATTGTATTTGAAGCAGGAAGATTTAAATCCAATCACAGTAATAGTGTTAACAAATAAATCAGGCAATGCACCGGCAATTCAGTGATATCCCTGCAGTTGTGGTCTTGACATAAAATAGCTCTTTTCAACTAACAGTTCGCGTTCTCGAGCCAGAGCCTGTTCTCGACCAGGTGAACTGGAGCTTGTTGTGAACTGGCCGCATGTTTCCTCAGACCTGACGAACGAACAATGTAAAGCTGCTACGTGTTGTTTGCATGACTATAAACAGTCAAAAATAAAACTGTGTGTATCCTGGTGTTTGGCAGGCAGTGCCGGCTTGCCGTTTTTGTTTTCGCAGTACCGGTTCTACCCCCAAGACAAGAACGAGTACAATTGTAGTCGAGACTGAGGCAAGACCTTCAAAAAATGGACTTTACACCAAGACCACTCTCGAGAACTAACACTAGCTTGAAGAATAACATTTTGTGATGGGATGTAAAAAAAATTTGAAATAGAGACATTTGCATTGTCAGGAAGTACATTTGTTTGATGTATATGTGGGATTTATTTTTATATATCATCTTTATCCTTTGGGGTTGATTACTGCCTCTTGTTGCTTGACCTATGTTTGGATAGAAAATCAAAGAAAGTGAAAAAGTTGGTACATAAAATTGTCCCATTTGCAACAGGAATAACTTCATTAAAAACACTGCATTTATGAACTGCATGCTATTCATCAACATCCTCTGTGGAAATTCCTTCTATCATATAAGGGAAGAGGACATGCATGTGGTCACAGGGTGGTTCCTTAGGTTGTGCATGAGGATAAGAGCGCACGTGAAGTAAGTGTGTGCACTCTATACCAGTTTGAATAGGTGGACCAGCACAGCACAAAAGATGTCTACTGGTGATAAGGACAGGAAAAAACGCTGCTACATTGCCTGCCAAAATAATCTGCTCCGTCAAAAAAGCAAAACAATTGAGGGAAAATCTATTGTGTTCGGTAGAGGGATCAAGGCAGGATGTAAAATTGTTCAGACCTTTGCTGAGGAACTCTCAGCCCGAGCGACACTGGAAGTAGCGTTGCAGATAGCAGAGCTTTTGAAATGTTTTGTGGAAGTTTAGGTTTTGAAATGAATGCACATTCTTTAGATCTAGAGTGCATGTCTGTGTAAGTAATGTATGTAGTTGACTGTATACTGGCCCACATTGAAGGGGTAGTTCCCACAAATGAGTTGTAATGGCACCACCCATGTCCTGTGTCAAATAGCGACCCTTTTGACCCCAGGCTGGTATGAAGTTTGTGTCTCGTGTGAACTTTCCCTAAAGCTTTCCACAGAAAGTCGTAAAATATGCATTACGTTTTTATAAAATATCACAAAGGAAGTGAAAAACAGTTATTTTAATCCCAGAGGCTTCTTGGTATTAAATTGTTAAACAACATGTCCTAACCAAATGTGACAAATCCACAAGTGAATTCTTGAACAAAGTAAATAAAATAGCTTACTAGTGGAAGTTTAAGTAAAACTAAACTAAAAAATAACTAAAGTAAACACACGTGAAACAGAAAAACACTTCATTATATTGAATGTACTTGAAGTGTATTTCAAATTGTATATTTTTAAAACCTGCACTTGAAGACAATATAAAATCAATGAAACAAAACAATTAAAACCATTTAAGTGCACTTTTAAAAAGTGCGCTTTGTAAAAATGTAAAAAAAAAACACTTTAATTATATTTTAAATCATTGTTTTAATAATGTTTTGTTGTGCTTTAAAAAAGTAGCCTACATTTATTTGGTGCTTTGACTAACATAAATTGTGAAGTACTTATTGTAAATTTAATTGTAGTGTGTTATTTTATACTATGTT